TTGAATTTTTCTATGTTCTGTGTAAAGTTTGAAAGTTTGACTTGTATCAGAGAATGTTAATGAAATGAGAAGGAGCAAATGTTAAGTAACATTTTTTCAAGTACTAATTAGAAAATCTGAGATGCGAGAGTTCACCACTGAGATCAAGGAGTTCGCCACACCAATTTTAACTACCATATTCTATGGTGAAGTGAGAGGATTGTGGCAAATTTAGAAAAATTAGCTGCCGTTGGTGGTACATAGTTGCAAATTTATGCCGTCAGCTTATGAGTGCTGTGGTGCATGCTGCAAAAATGTAGCTCGTATTCTGTTTTAACTTTTTGTGCTTATTTCTAAAACCATTGGAAGGGTGGTATTTTTTTATTTATTAAATTTAATTTTTTTTGTTGTTTAAAAAACACATATCGCTAGCTGAGAGTGAAAAGCTACTAAGTGCCTTTTAAAAAAGTTGCAGGAGAGGAAAAAAACTTCTTCTAGCCAATTTCTTCAAGCATTTCGCAAAACTTTGGATACCACATTTTTGCTTCATATGAATCAGAGGGATTCGATCTTTATTAAAAGATTTCGTTCTATTATGGCCTTATCGGATTTTCGGTGCTCTTTTTGGACTTAGAACATTTTTCTTTCATTGAATTTAAACGAGTAAATAAAATACCTTTATCCTTTTCGACACAATACATTTTTAATTTCTCTAGCCTCCTGTATCAAAATATGTTTGTATATGCATTTAAGCAAATCCCTTAAAAAGAACATTTGTCGTATACAAGCAGTAACATTTCTTTGGTAAATTCTTTAAAATCATAGTAATAATTTTGAATAAATAAATTTAAACTAATATTTTCAATGAAAATATTGATATGTAATTATGTAGAAACATTTTTGTGCAACAAAGTAAAATGTATGAAATAAAATTATGTATGAATATGGAAATTTCGGCGAAACATAGAAAAAATTTAATTGGAACTTTATTTATATGAATTATGTACATATGTATGTATGTATTATTACACAGTGCGACAGTAAATTTTAAACACAAAAAAAAATAATATATTCTGACGTCAGGATGTTTTTTAAAAAGACTTTGAATTGTAAAAAATATGATTATTTCAAAAAAATATGTAAAAAAATTCAGTGCAATGTAGGATAACAATAAGGGTATCATATTCGGTAGAATTATAACAGAATAAATTTTTTAGTGCATAAGGACGAATGGGTATGGAAAATATCCTTTACAAATTTTATACTTAAATTATGGCATTGTGGGTATTCATGAAAGCGCGTAAATCGTAATCACGTAAACCTCGTAAATAATTCGATTTTACATACAGAATTAAAAAAGTTTTACGAGGCTTACATAGTTACGAGGCATTTACGCGTTTTGATGAATTGCCCTATTATATTTTTGTTGATAAGAAATTACATTATAAAAAGAAAATTATTAACTTTGAGAGTTCGAAAGAAATGAATGAGAGTTGCACAGATTTCAATTATTTTTTTATGAGTAAAAAGAAATTCCTCAGGATCTGATTAATCAGGATTATGAATGTGCACATCTTTCGTGCAACAAAGAAAATATAATATTGAGCTAAAATCGATACACTTCGATATAAAAAAGTAGGAGATATGTACAAATAAAATTAAAAATTAAAATGTGGTTGAAAAATAAAAATGCATACATACACACATGCATAAGAATATATGTACATATCTACATATTAACAACGCGCATGCGTACATATGTACATATGTACTACTAAACAAATATCTACAAACTTCAAAACGAAATACTTCTGCACATACATACATACAAATACTACAACTAGAAACATACAGACACCACGTTTACTTTTGCCCGCACTCCCGCTTCTCACGAGCAAGACATTCATTCATAAAAACAAAAACTTCTATTCATAAATCGCGCGCACCTCGCACACTTGCCCCGCTACAAACATGAGCCGTCCACAAGTTGATTTTCGTCGCGGCGTTGACAAAATCTAAAAATCTCAAATTTTGTCAACCACCGTGCCGATCGGAAAAGTCTCAACAGTGTACAAAATCCCCCTTCCCTTTGCTCACTTCAGTTGTCTAAAAATATTTTTTCTGCGCGTTTCAGAAAACGGGCAACAATGCCGACAAGTGCGCAGAATCCCTTCACTTTCGTTTCCCCCGCCTGGCCAAGAATTCTTCCTCTTCTTCAACTTTTTCACAATCCGCAGAAAAGCCAAAAAATCAATTTTGATCATAAATTCTTATTTTATTTCATTTTATAAATTATAAAAAACCACCGCATCTAGGCCGTTACTCGAACCCATACCGTATCGGCAAAGCATCATCATCGCTTCGCCTCTACCAACTATGCCACAGCACAACTTGGATGCCTAGCGTCTTACAAGCTAGATGTACCCTTCAAAATGCAAGTATGAATTCAAATATTTTTTCTTTTTCGTTGACATATCTACATCTACGTACCAAAGGATATATGTGCGTACTTGTAATTTTTGCTTATACGAACACACGAAATTGACCTGAAAAACCTACCAAAACCTATCGAAATTTTGATAAAAATTAAATCAAGTTAGCTTTTATAAATTTTTTTTTTATTTATATGCCTTTATTTAATCATAGGTATGTCATGTACATAATATGAAGAATTAAACTCATTATAATGATATGAAAAAAGTGCAAATAAACCATTTTAAAAATTTTAAATTACATAAAAAGAACAGGAAAAAGTATATAAAAAACTTAAATTATGGGATTTAAAAAAACCTGAAATAAAAAAAAAAGAAAAAACAAACTGAAAAAATGAAAAAAACTGAAATT